ATAAAAGATTCACACTCCAAAAATGTACAGCTGATTCCTTTAGAAAGTCAGTCATGAAGGAATATTAAGTGCATCTTGTCTAAAATGACCTGAAGATTTTTATAGAAATCTCAGTTAAAAATGTCAGTGTGCTGGATATTTAGAAAATACAGCTAATTTATGGATGTATGGATGTATGGATGGATGGATGTATGGATGTATGGATGGATGGATGGATGGATGGATGGATGGATGGATGGATGGATGGATGGATAGAAAGAGGAAATTTTATTATGTAAGTTTGGAATTTAATTATGAATGTGATGATGCCGAGGAATGAAAAGATATAAAATGGAATACATCAAGAACTAAGCAAGCAATAGATTGCAGGAGTAGTGTTCTTCAGACAGTTTGTCTGCATTCATGGTTGCCACTTCTTAGTGAAGCTATTTTCAGTGCAGGTGAAATCTGATGTATCGCTAAACAGAAGTATTCTGGGTGAAGTATATGAGGCTGTTATCTGAGCCAAGCTTAGGACATGAGTCTTTTGGCTAAAAATATGTGGTAATAGCACTATAAATAAGTCATACACTGTTACTGTTCTTTAGCCTAGGCATGTATGCATAAACAGGTAATGTGAAGATTTCACTTTAGGTGGAAAGTAATACGTTTCTGATTGCTTTCAGGATAACGTTGACCTTGGGGATTTGATGTTCTCCCTCTGCTACCTGCCTACAGCAGGCAGATTGACCATCACCATGATACAGGCTCGTAATCTTAAGGCCATGGATATAACTGGTGCATCTGGTAAATTAAGTTTGATATTGTTAATCCAGGGTATTTCCACCTGTTGTCCAAGAAAGAGATAAATGCTCACAATCCCTATTTCTGTGTTTTTTTATAAAGATCCATATGTGAAGGTTTCTCTGATGTGTAAGGGTCAGAGACTGAAGAAGAGGAAGACATCTACAAAGAGGAACACCTTAAATCCAGTCTATAACGAGGCCATTGTGTTTGATGTCCTTCCAGAAAACATCGAGCAGATCAGCCTTTTAATAGCAGTGATGGACTATGATCGGTTCGGTTACTTTAAGTTATACCCTATACCATATTTGCATCAGTCATCTCTTTATTATAATTACAATATTAAACTATACGTAAGGTACTCTTAAAGGTTGTGTAAACATTATTTGAAGTCCTGAACATTTATTGTCTGAAAATTTTGTTTCCATTGTCAAAGTTTTCTTTATATTGACCTAGAATTCAAGGCAAGCTAAGATTATATTCTCTCTTCTCTCTCTTTCTACTGCGCCTGTAGTGTGGGCCATAATGAGGTCATTGGTGTCTGTCGAGTTGGCAATGATGCAGACAGCCTCGGTCGAGAACACTGGAGTGAAATGCTCACATATCCGCGGAAACCTGTCGCCCACTGGCATCCTCTTGTTGAGGTGAGTTGGCTTCTCTATAATGTATGTGACAGGTGTTTCCAGGCATGGAAGACTGACCAGGTTTTAATCATGAAGATTTCTTCTTTTTTCCTCTAACCATTTTAAAAGTGGCATCTTACAAAGCTTGACCCTTCTGCTTAGCTTATGAATTATGCCATTGTTTAAACAGTAAAATTTCAAAAGCATTGTTTGGTTTCTTAAAATGTATATTGATAGTTTGATAAATATTTCAAAACCTATTTTTTGAATGTCATTATTTGGAATGCTGTGTTGTGACATATCTCAATAAAAATAATAAAATCAGTGGTTGTTTAATATTTCAAAAATACACTTCAGATATTCCTAAAGGAAAAGCTGTGCCTGATTAATAAAAAATAAATCATATTTTTCCCCCAGACAAGGCAACCAATGTTTGTCAGCTCTGACTGACACAGTAAGATGTTGTTAAAATTAGTCTTAAAAAGACTGCAGCTTATATCACTGCAACACAAATATGTTTTATTCGATTTAGCAGAAGATATTACATTAATATAAACTGTCAGAAATCTTTTCAAAAAACTGAATGACTTGAATAAGTAAACTATATATGTAAACTACAGAACAAATTAAAAAGAATCTGGTTCATCAAGGAAAAACATCAGATATATTAAGGGAAACCTTTAATGCTTTAAGCACTTAAGACTTCTTACTGTCTTGACTAGTTTTTGTCTTGATCTTAAATTTAGTAAAACTCTGTAGGGTTGTGTGGTTTTTTTTAGAGGACCTAAATGCAGAGACGGAAGCTAAAGTGGTTTCTTGCAAATTCAAAGAACAAAAGGTGGCTACTGAAGCAAAAATCCAAAAATAACAAAAAAACAGTCAGGGAAAACACACATGAGGAGCAAGGAAATGACAAGAAACCAGCAAACAGTAACTGAAGAGGAGTATAAACGGGAGAATGAACAAAGACTGGGCTAATCAGCAGATGAGGAACAGGTGTGGACACAAGCATGTAGAGGGGAGCTAAGAGAGGGAGACTGACACAAGGGGGCAACAGGGTAAACAAGAAATACAAAAGAACTCAAATACAACCAAAACCACCTACAATAACACATAATGGAAATGAAACCAATGAAAACTCTAAAAGAGAACTTAAACAGAACCAAAGTCATGACAAACTTGACAAGCATAACTTGAGTTCTTTAAAAAACGCATGGAGCACAAATTAACTTTAGTAAACTGTGTCTATAAAACTTGACAGCGTTTGGATTTAAAAAAAAAAAGACATATACATGAACAAAGTGGAAAGAAAAAAAATAAAACCTTAAAGAATCAATAAAACTACCTGATGTTGAAGTTTGATAGTGGGAAATTGATGGCTTGAAGTTGTTCTGCAGCCTGTTACATTTGTGTGAAGAGGGTATTTATCTTAATACTAAAGTGGGCATAGAGTAAAAAAATAAGTATAACTGCTCTGAATCTGTATTGAGAGTACACATACATCAGAGCAATTTTAAAACAAGTTTTTTTTCTTTTTACAAATCATACTTTCCCTTATTCACAAAGCAGTAAAAGTTGCTATTTGTACCACCCACAGGTGCATGTTTATTCATCCACATCCCAGATAAGCATTTTGTCTCAAAAAGCTTTCATCCTTTTAAATGCAGACAACTGTCTTTGCAGATAGCTTATTAAAAATGTAAATACATACTTTATCTCAATTTACATCTGCTCTCTATGATTGCGAGTCTTATGTTCATATTTATTAATTATTTTGCTTTTGTTCTCTTTTTCTTCTCTTTGCACAGTACCAGGGGACTACAAGTAGTAGCCAAGGAGGATCTTGTAATTCCCTAAAAGCGCCTCCTTCTCCGTAGCCTTCAGCAAAAAAAAAAAGACACTGCTCATTGAGAAGCACATTATGAGTGCTGCTGAGTGTTGTTAAAAAAAAATATTTTAATAAAAAAAGGTGCAGGCTTTTAATGACAGCTATGGAAATGAGAGATGCAAAATTTCTTATGTTGCATGTAGAATGATCGCCAAGATGGATGTTTTGTTTTTTCATGATGTTTCCTTAGAAAACAGGTATATGCAGACATTTTAAGTCTGTGCAATTCCTGCGTTTATACAGATAACACTGTTACTGTTTATTTTTACATAGTCTTGGTACCTGTTTTGAAAAAGTAAAACTGTACTTGCAAGATGTACTTCAAACCAGTTGAACAGCCAAATGTTTTTTCTTTTTATTTAGTGTTGAAGTGGTGCATGGGGTCATGGTTTGGTGAAATATCTTCTCCTGGTTTGTTTGCTTCTGTTCCTAATTTTATATTTCATTATGTTGTACTGTCAGTAAGTGTGCAGTAACAATTTATTTACATACGAAGTATATGTAAGCAGGATATGTTGAATGTTAGAAATAAATAGTGTAATGTAAAAAACATGTTTGTCCATTATTGTGTATTGACATAAAATGTCCCATTTAATCAAGTAGAATATTAATAAGTTAAGGAGTTATAGTAACTTTACTGAATTTAGTAACTTGGTGAAAAACATTGTTTAGATGAATTACATATTATATTGTCGTACGGCTCGGGAATAGAGGACTCTGACAGTAGAATCGAGTTTAAGGTTCTTTTAATACACTGAGGTCAAACACCAAACATCCAATGGAAGCAGGTGTAACAAAAACAGAGGAAGGAAAAGGTCCAAAAACAAGCATTATAAAAAAATAACCAGAAAGCTAAGTTCAAATTCAAAAAGGCTTGACCGCTTGACTCAAAGTACAAAGACGAACTGCCATAGGGAAGCTGCATGAATGAGAAATAACTAGGCCAACAAACTAATGAGGATCACAAACTCCAGGTGAATGACATTAATGAATGACAAAAACAGGAAGTGAAAAGAAATGTAACACATTTAAACTCAAGCCTGGAATACACTGTACGATTTTTTTGCCCTTTTCGGGACGATTTTCCAGTCGTGCAAGAATTTTTTGATTGGTCCGGCTTTTAGCCTAACTGTCCGTCATGCATCGTGTAGTGTACATGGGGTAACGAGGGGCGATCAGCCACTCAGGACAACCTTCCAATTAGGAATCGTGAGATTGGGAGAAAATTAAACATGTTTGAAATTCAGTTTGGCGTTGTGGGCAAATTGCTCATTGGGCATGTTCAAACAAGCATACTTCTTCTTCTTCCTCTCAGAAGAAAGGCTGGTTATACTCTTGCAACTGTGTGTCGCAGTGCGCTTGTTGCAGGTATGATACAAATATTTTTGGTTTATGCCCAATTTTGAAGTGTGGTCTGCGCTATGTTATTCCACACCACAACGCAAGAGGGACAATCATGAGGGGGGTGGATTTCTGTTCATGTTAATGGTTCTTTGATAGATTTTAGACCAAACATTTTGATCAAGCCTAACTGATAAATCAGTTTCCTATTTTCCAGTGGGAAGTGACTCAGCTATAGGAATAGACTCAGTTATTTTCGATAAACACCTATATATTTTGGACAGTAAGTTTGGAGGATTAAGGCTTAGTAAATCCTCCACATTTGGTGCCATTAGCAGACCTGCTTCATTGATCTTAAATCTGTTTTTTTAATTATAGACATATTCTGTATATGTTGTAAAATTAAGCTGCACAATGGGATAAAATAATTCCTTCAAATAAATGTTCCAAAAAACTTTACTATCAAAATTATTTAGATAAATAGCCACTCCTGCCGAATGATAGGTTCCATGAGATTAAAAAAAGAAAAAAAAAAACATGTCCCCAGTTCACTTTTGGTTGTTCCTTGCAAAAAAGAAAGACTGCCTCTCACTTCAAGTCATATGTTTAACAATGAACATAGAAACATAGAAAAGATAGTAGCATAAAGCTTCCATTCACATTTTAACTTACAGGATGCATTATTTTCTGTGTAAAGGTGCTGGCGCCCCTGTCGAGACCTTGAGAGAAGGGGTTCCAAATGTAGGTTCCATATTCTTCTCTCTATCTGTAGCACAGCAAGCCTTTTACTTTCTTTTGCATAAGATATGAATCACATAAAAATCTAGTGTATAAATTTGCCTCTGGATAAAATCCTTGTTGTGCTGCCACTACAAATGATTTAAAGGCCAAATCTGAATACCTAAAATCAATAAAGACATTTAAGCCACAGAGGAAGTTCATCCACTGTGGCCGTATTAAGTTCTATTTGAGCACTCCTAACAGTTAGGAAGGAGCTGGGAAAAAAAAATACAGCATGGTGCCAATTAGCCATTACATTTCGTTGCTTGACAGAATATATAGGCACAGCCCACTTTAACATTTTATTAAAACATTCATTTTTCGGTGTATTCTGTGGGACACATGCTAATGTACACTTTCCAGTGTCACAAGCAACGTAAGGAACTCTCTACATTTAACCCATCCCCTTGGGGAGCAGTGGGCTGCCAAATTTCAGAGCCCTGGGAGCGCTCAAGGACCCAGAGTGGCTGTCTGTGGGAGTGGGGCTTAAACTCACAACCACAGGATTCCAAGTGTCACCTGTCCTGACTTACCACTTGAGCTAGTGAGCCACAACACACCTTCATATTTTCTGGGTTTTATTAAACAGAGAATCAACTGTTTGTTACAACTGTGCAACTTTTGCTTTTTGTAGATCTCTTCCAGATAACTGTTTGTGATGTTTGTGAAGGCTGAGGACGTTTTTGATTCACCAAAGCTCATTTCCTACCTTTCTTTGAATTATTTCCGTTATCCCTGTGAATCGTGAAGGAATAAAAGCTAGAAACAGTAGGTTGGATTGAGCCTATGTCTTGGAACATGATCCTTACAGTGTCTTACAAAATTAAAATAACAAAAAAAGGGTGGCTTTTTAATCTGTTATTCAAGACATTTATCTGACCGAAAAAGTGATGCACATAATAATGTCATGAAAAACCTTGATTGAAAGAACGAGGAGCAAAATAAAAAAACATCCCAGGGACTGATATCTATATAGATAGACAGGGACCTTACAACATTTCAAATTTCTATTTGATTATTTTTTATAACATTTTTTGTTACCTAAAAACATATTACAAGTATATGTAAATAGTTTGATGCTGGTTATATTCTTCACATTGTAACAGCAGTGGAATGTAATTGGACATGGATAATTAAGGACCCTGTGTTTAACTATGATAGGCTTTAAACTTGTGACCTAGCAGTGAACAGCTGTGACCCTTTCAACTTAGTCTGCAGCTGATTATAACACACCATGTGACTTTATCATGACAGAGTGTCATCTGAAATAGGAAAAAAGAGGGAGAGTGTTGGTTGTCACAGCAGAAACCGAGGTGAGTGGGTTGCTTGTTAAGGCCTTGTTAGTGGGCACTGTGTATGACACATTTCTGCTTCTCTATAGAACCAGTGATTCAGCAAGTAGTTGGGGCAAAGAGAGAAAGATCTTTTCACAGCACATCTTACCTGGTGAAATAATTATTCATCTGACATTTGCCTACATAATCTAATAAGTGTACAGCTACCTTAACAAAAACAAAAAAACTGATTTTCAGCAAAAACAATAAAAAATGTATTCTATTAATACATATTAAGAATATTGCTTGCTTGCTTTGCTTTGCTTACAGTAAGAATGTACAACATAGCAGTGAAAAAAGTTTGGGTCCATTCACTATTTTTTTCTGCTATGATCAAATTAGAGTAATAGTGGAAAATTGACAAATTGCCTAACCTTCATGAAGTTTATATTTTAAAGATCCAAATATTAAGACTCTGAGAAAGCTACAACTGTTCAGTTGCAATTTGGTTTTAGACTGTCTGATTGCTTCAAGAGTCTTTTTAAGAGCACATCATAAAAATGCTAAACCTCTCTGTCACAGAGATCATTATTATTTCCTTTTCAAACATCTTCATGATTTAAACATCCTTGGTATTTCTATATGATATGCTGGGAGAGAACTTGATAAAATTTAGGCCATGTAATAATTTTATCTAGAGGTTATTGTGAACTTATTGTGATATGTGCTTTACATCTTTCTTATAGATTGACTGTAACATGATCACCTGATTTTTGAATCATTTGCGCCCCTTGCTGGTAAAAGAAAGGATAGCAAATCACAGCTTTTTTCCTTCACTTGTGCATGTAATCTTCCTTTACATTTAATTACCCTAATTTACTGGAAAAAAAAAGATTTGGATATGATAAAACAAAAGTTAGGAGCAAGCTGTAATGCATTTTTTAGCTAGTATAGTAACTAGAGAATAATCTCAACATTTGAGAAAGAAAACTTGTAGTTTGAATAATGAGGTCACAGAAAACTTATAAAGGCAGCACTCAGATGCTTGCTATAGCCTTGGTGCAGATAGATTTTAAAAAAAGTATCAGAAAGTTATTTTAATAAAGGCAGTGGAAACTGTTGAAGCTTGCTGGCCTGTTTTCGAATTATAAGATTCAGTAATTGACTTTTAGTTTAAATATTAAAAAAATAATAATAATTAATTAATCTTTCTGGTGCATGAACAACCACAAAAGAATATGTAGTTTCCCCAGACTGACAGATAAGCAGATTGCGCTGGCAGATTTAACCCCTTTGTTCTTGCAGCATTCACTTAAAGTAAATTTTTGACAAAGTAAGGGATGCATAGATATGGTGAGCATCTAGATTGTTAAAAGTTGTTTTTATGTAAGAAGAGAAACTTTAATAATTTAGTTCAAAGTGTTTTCCACAAAAAGAGCCTAATTTTCAAAAGGTTTGTGAGTATAAAGGCAAAAAGTATAGCATGAACAAACCTAACCAGGTGTAAATCTGTGAGTGTTTTTCTAATGTATGAAGAAAAGCAGGCACAATCAGTTTTTCTGAAGATGTTTCAGCTCCTGGTGCCTATCTCCAGCAGTCAA